ATTGTTTTTTTTAAAGTTTTTGCTGTTGTTTTTTAAACATTTTGAATGGTGTGTCTTGTTGGCACTGTTCAATTGTAATACTGTTTTACATGTTTTATTTTGGTTTGATTGTGGTGATGGCTGTGTGTTGATGATATTTTCTTTCTGATGAACATGTTTGTTTTCTATTTGCTGCTTTCTCTGTTGGACTTGCGTATATTACTTGGGCTTTTTTGTACTTGGGCATGTTAGTTTTGTGTGGTTATTTGCTGGTTATTTTTGGGACCTGTGTGTGTTACTTGAGCTTTTTGCACTTGGGCATGTCAGTTGTGTGTTTACTTGTGCATCTTGGATTTTGCTTTCGATTCCTTATATTAGGGGTACTGTTTTGTGTTTGTTTGAACTTGTTCTTTGATGTTTTTTTACTTGCGACAACTGTTTTACTTGAGAGATGTTTCTGCTACTTGTGTGATGTTTTTGTGTCTACTTGTTTTTACTTTAGCATGTCCAAGTGTAAGTTGCAGTCTGTGGGTCTTTTCCATGGGTAGAATTTGCATTTCAATATTGGCTCAAGTAACTCATGTGTGACTCATATTTTCTTTTCTAGTTGGTCGCCATTTTGGCCTTGTGGGCATTGAAGCCTCTGTAGAAGGTCTTGGCCTTCCTTTGACTTGGGGCGTGGCTGTACTAGATGTGTTATTGCTGTTGTTTTCTATGTTTTTTATTGCAAACCAAATCTTCACTGATATCCTTATGCATTTTTTGCTCTTTTTTTGCACTTGTTATGCGATTTTTGTGCACTTGTTGTGCAGTTTTTGCACTTTTTATGCATTTCTTATGCACTTTTTATGCGCTTTTTATGCACCTTTTATGCACTTTTTATGCACTTTTTATGCGCTTTTTATGCGCTTTTTGAAAGCGCATAAAAAGCGCATAAAAAGTGCATAAAAAGTGCATGAGGATTTTGACCAAAATCAACAAAAAATAACACAGAACAGCATCAAAACCAACCAAAACACACCAAAACCAGTGTACTTTCATTTGAGTATAATCACCAATATCGCAGAAACATCAAAACCTAATATGATTTTCAGCTTAGTTCATATCAAGGAAATCAGTGAAGTACCTTCCATGTTCAATAGAATACAGGTAGCACAAGTAAGACAATTGGTGTGGCAAATCCTCAAGTAATAAAAAGTAATCTGCAAAGGCCTTCCATTTCCTCAAGTGCTTATGTAGAAAACAGAAACAGTGCAATATCTCCAATTCCCTCAAGTAAGATATGTTTTGCCTATTGTGCCAAACCTGAACCGGCACAACAAGCAAAAACACAATGCCCATCTTTATTTTTTGCAGAAAATCACCCAAATGGTGTTTTTTTTCTGATTGCACCGCACCTGGCCCGATACTATTCTTATACAAGAACACCAGCTCCATATATTTTTCAGGGGACATCACTGACATGGTGTTTTTGCTTTTGTACCAGACCTGACTTGGTACAATAAGCAAAAATACGACTACAATATGTAACCAGCCAGGATCCCAAGTAACACTCAAGTAAGGGATGGTCCACAAGTAATCAGCCAGGTCCTCAATACACTAGATGGTGATGGCAAAAAAATGCACCAGTGATTTCACTTGAAACCACTTACTTGAGTCTTCTTACTTAAGCCATTATATTTGAGCATTGTCTTGAAGTTCTTTTGCTTAAAAACATCTTCAATGAGTACAAGTTCCTTGGGCATGGTGGGCTACTTTCTTACATGATCATTTTATTTACACCTCAAACTTGTACCAAAAAAAGAACAAATCATAAACCTGAATGCATTGATTCCATCTCAAAAATTATAGATTTCCAAAACATTTGTTAACTAGTTGTGTATGTTTTTCAACAAAAACGTATACAAAAAACAGCTTCCAAAAAATGAAGAAAAATTAGGTATAAACCTAAATTGATTTAGGTACATACCTAAATCAATTTACTAATTTTGATGTTTTAAGCTTTTTTAAAACCTAAATTCTTCGATTTACGTAAATTTTGAAAATTAGTAAATTTACTATTTTTGGAGACTCAGGGTAGCCATCAGACGGGGTTCCCGCGTTACAACATGTAAACACCAGGCTGACATCCTGGGTTTTTTCGGCCTTGCCCAGTGGCCATCAGACGGGGTTCCCGCGTTACAACATGTAAACACCAGGCTGACATCCTGGGTTTTTTCGGCCTTGCCCAGTCGCCATCAGACGAATTTTCGCGTCAAAAGCGACAATGTAAAGACGAGACTGACATCCTGCTTTTTGCTTTAAGCACGGCCGCCGCAAGACGAAGTTTATGCGTCAACGCGAGACTGACATCCTGGGTTTTCTCGGCTTTGCCCAGGCGCTATCAGACGAAATTTACGTGTCACAACATGTCAACACTTAGACTGACATCTTGGGTTTTTCCGGTTTTGCCCAGTCGCCATCAGACGAAGTTAACGCGTCAAATTCAATACATGTAAACACGAGACTGACATCCTGGGATGTTTTCGGCTTTGCCAAGGCGCCATCAGACGAAGTTTACGCGTCAAAACATGTAAACAGGAGACTGACATCCTGGGTTGTTCTGGCTTTGCCCACTCGCCTTCAGATGAAGTTCACGCGTCAAACCATGTAAACACGAGACTGACATCCTGGGTTTTTGCGGCTTTGCCCAGTCGCCATCGATGAAGTTTACGTGTCAAAACATGTAAACACCAGACCGACATCCTATGTTTTTTCGGCTAAGCCTGGTGGCCATCAGACGAAGTTTACGCACAACATGTAAAGACTGACATCCTGTTTTTTTTCGGCTTTGCCCATCTTACGGAAATAACGCGTCAAAACATGTAAACACCAAACTGCCATCCTGGGTTTTTTCGGCTTTGCCCAGTCGCTATCAGATGGAGTTTACGTGTCACAACTAACATGTAAACACTAGACTGACATCCTTGGTTTTTTCGGCTTTGCCCAGTTGCAATCAGACGAAGTTAACGCGTCAAATTCAATACACGTAAACACGAGACTGACATCCTCCTTTTTCTGGCTGTGCAAAGACGCCTTTAAGACGAAGTTTACGCCGCGTCAAAACATGTAAAGTAAACGTTGTAGACTGACACCCTGGTTTTTCCAGCTTTGCCCAGTCGCCATCAGACGGAGTTAACGCGTCAAAACATGTAAACACCAGACTGACATCCTGTGTCTTTTCGGCTTTGCCCAGTGGCCATCAAACGAAATTCGAGCGTCAATACATCTAAACGTTATTACGCGTCAAAACATGTAAACTACTTTAAACAGGAGACTGACATCTTGGGTTTTTCCGGCTGTGCCCAGTCGCCATCAGATGAAGTTAACGCCTCAAAACATGTAACCACGAGACTGACATCCTGGGTTTTTTGCGCATGTTGATTTTTCTGTCGTTTTCTTCCAGCTTCGCCCAGCTACCAAACATTTTTCATTCATTCAACCGCTGAAAGTTCAGAACTGTGCGGACATGCTAAGCCAGCAACCCATCACAAACTGTGTTGGTGGTGATGTGTTTTGACCCGGCCTGACTGATATTCTGCAACTTGGGATGTTGATCGAAAATCCACATGACTTGCTGTCGTTCTGCATGTGATTCTGCTGCCATCGACGAACCACTACAAACTTGCGCAACAACCCAAATCTTTCATGGACAGAAAGTCAAAGAGAAAAAGTGTTCAAACTCCAAGTTGCACTGAAATAAAACAAAACACTAGACCCAAAAATACCCACAAAAGGACAACACCAAAAGAGTTAAAAGGGAGGGAAAAAAAACAATGCACCAAGCAAACATAGCTGCGATCTGGTTTTGAATGTATTAAAGCTGCACGTGTTCTTCTGAACTATTCATCTTTTTTTTTGACTATGTGTGGCATTGCCTGAAGTTGGTAGGCCCTTCTAGGGTTTTCTTGGCTCTAAGCCTGCACGAGCTCTTGTTTGCATGCCTCTCAACTGCGTTGGCATTTCAAGCCGAAACTGGGTCACTGACCTGTCCTGTTTGCACACTAACCCTGCAACACAGAGGTATGGAGCCACCCCGGGCTATATAAGCCGGGGCGACATTAACACTGGACAGGTACACGAATTGGGTTCCAAATTAGCCGTGCCGAATCGTGCGTAGTTCGATCTGCAGGGGTTTTAACTGAAAAGGTTTGAAAATTCCCACCTGGTAGACCTTGCCGAGGTTGTATCCAAGTTGGCAGGTAATGATGTAGCCGAAGCATGAACAAGACACAACTCCCAAAACACGGTAAAGCCGCCTTTTATTACATGGGAACTCGGCAAGCCAGGTTTGAGCTTAGCCTGGGAGCTATGTCAAAGATTGTGGAATTTAAAAGCAGGTACGTCTGGATGGCCAATCCAGATATCCCACTCTGTGGCTTATATTCATTGAGCTGAGTCAGTCACAGAGCACCCAGTTCCCCTGCATTGTTGTTTGAATATGTGCAGTCAACCATGCCCTGTGTCAGAAGGGTGTACACACACAAACACAAACCAAACACACACACACATATATATATATATATAATTTATATATATGTATTTGTTTATATATTTCTTTTTATTTATATTTATTTATTTATTAATTTATTTGTATACATACATACATACATACATACAGGGGATTTCCCAGCGCCATGTTTGATTCCCGGAGGATACCATAGGGTACTGTGGGGTGCACTGGTACTTACTAAATCGATGTTGCTTGGTTCCGTTGTCCATGGAAAGAATCGTCAGCCGACATTGGAACCCTACTGCCAAACGCGACCGATCCCTGTGGCCTGGTTGTTTTTTTAATGCCGTTATTTTCCCATGAACATTGCAGAAATGGGGAAGTAAATCATGGTAAATCCCAAAAGTTTCGGACAATTTACCATGATGCACCATGATTTACCATCACTTATTTTCGAACAATCCCTAATTTTTCCTGTTGTTTTCATGCATCAAGGTCTCAAATTGCAATTTTTCGTGACATGTGCCAGGCGCAAGTTCCTCCTCAACCTTTTCCTCAACCTTTTCAGCCATCGAATTTGGCATGCATTTTCAAATCTGACCAGGAAACTGTACAGAAATTATGACCAAAAGGCCCTCATCCGGCGCACAGGATTGCTCAGTTGGGTGCTGGTGGCTCGAATTTTACCAGCCTCCAAAATATCCATCAGAAAATGTTCCAGTTCTCAATTGAGTTTTGGAACATATACATTGCGTCATGGAGACAGCCCACCAAGGCATCATGCAAAGAAGGCGGCGGATATCTAGCAGAAGATGAGATGACAATCTGTCCAGCCAGTGTGTGTGACAATCATGAGATGCCTAATGATTGATTCAGATTGTTTTCTGAGAGTGTTTCAACTTAGTTGAGGCGATCTGCATTTCTTCTTGAAAAAGTGTTGCGCTGGCGGCGCTTCCTGAGTCCCCTGGATCCCCGCTTTCGATACACTTTGCCTTCAGGCCAGCGGATCGACCAACCTTTCAGTGCCCAAAATTTGGGGTGTGGAGGCTCTAGTGATCCGGGGCTAAGGTGCCCAATGTGCCCATGTGTTCCCACGGTGAAACCGGGTATGGCTATGTGTTAAATTTAAGCGTGCCTTAAAATTAGAGTTGAAAGCTTAAAATGGACCAAAATCTGACGCCTGGGTCTTAAATTTTTACCTATACCCATACCGACCTCTTTTGCCTCCAATTTATATTTTCCGCTGCTGCAAGTGATAGCAGCTGAGAAATTTTTCAAAGGACAGGAGTTCAACAACCAGAATCTCCGCTGCGAGGTTGCAACCACCAACCACCAACTAGGCAGATTTTGTTTGGCTGGAAGTTGTTTCTCTTGTGAGAACTCCTTTCCGTCGACAGGCACAACAAAGAGGGGGGTTCTGCTCCCTTGGTACAGAATGGTATAGAAATATGTATATATACATAATACATATACAAATCATATACAAATAGAAACCCTGAATCCGTACTCATCCGTACTTTCACAAACACAGTAAGCACAACAGCATTGTAGGGAATCAACGTCCTGATTTGGTATTAAATGATATGTGTGCTGTATGCATATATATATAAATATACATACGCAAATGCCATATGCCATATGCAGAATTGCAATGGCAATGTTGACGTAATACACACATATGCAAAATATAATTCTAAATACAGAACGATAGATATGCAAATGCACATGTTCTGCTAAGATTGTTCAATTCAAGAGCTTGAAAAAGAAGGAGATACCAGTATATACACAAAGATATTTTCCCAGTACTCGTTCACAAAAGGAGCAGAACAAAAAGCCCATACAAGGATTGCTTGTCTCCTGGCTAGTGCCTAAAACAATGCAAGGACCCTAGCGAGTTTTCAAGCACTGAAGAACTTAAACGGGCTTTGCGCATGGGGGATCAAGCATCCGTGCCAACTTTGGCAAAATCAAACCAATGATCACTTGTGCCTTTCTTGATGTTGGAAACTTACAACGCATCTTGAAATGCTGCCATTTTTGCTGCCCTCAAATAGCCCAGTACATGATGGTTGCTCTGTACTTGTTGTGTATAGTTTGCGACTAGATTCAGTTTCCTACTGCCAGCCCTGAATCAAGATCCTAATTTGAATATTGAGATGCTCAATATCATATGGCCCTCTTAGAAGCATTAATATCGGGTCCTTTACTCCTTTCTTTGCTTTTCAGGGCTGCAGCATTCCAATTTGCTGGATGGGTTTTGCTCGAGTCTGGCTATCCACAGGAGGCCTTGGGTAATTACTTGCCACCAGCAGAAACGGTCAAGGATTGCGTGATTGAGAGCATTATTTCAAAGCCTAATTACTTTAGCGCGCCCTAGCATTTCAGTGAATGAAAGTGCAACCCTTTGAGAAAGATAGAACAACTAAGCAAAGGATATCTTAGAATATCTGGGAATTGAGGGGTACGATGATCGGCGGCAAGTCGTACAGACCCAGCTTCCTTCCAGAGCCAACCCAAATCCAACCATCCAAAACCATGGTGCGCTGCACAAATGGCATGGCAGCGAACAGAAGCACACCCTCAATGCATCATTTGAATTAGTCTATAATTTGACTTGTTTACTTAATGTTTCTAAATTATTCTAAATATAATAGCTCGTCATGGTGCTCTTTAAACGTGTCTAACAAATTGGACAAAGCCATCGTATTTCGATCGCTGGGACGGGATTCTGGCGATTTGAAGAACATGAATCGATGATCCAATGGATTTGGAGCTATACACGGTTTCCACCTATTTCCTAACAAACTAATAATAACCAACATCAACCAACATGGTTACCATGATTTCAACATCTTTGGTGAACCATGGTGGTTGAAGATCTCCAAGATTCAGGTTCATACCATAGGTCCATCTAGTCGCACCTCCAGTGTAAGGAATCTCGTTGCCATATTTATTACATTGGTATGTGCGGTATGTATGTAGATGTATAGCGCACACACAGAGATATGATGATATGTATGTGTATATATATATAGACAGAGATAGATAGATGGATAGATGGAAAGATGGATTGATAGATAGATAGATGGAAAGATGGATAGATACATAGACAGACAGACAGGCAGACAGATAGATAGATAAGATAGACTAGATACACAAGATAGATTAGATAAATTAGATTGATAGATAGAGAGATAGATGGATCGATAGATATATACGTATATATATATAAAGGTAGATAGATAGATAGATAGATAGATGGATAGATACAAGGAGAAATAGGATAGATTAGGAAGATAGGATAGATTAGATAGATTAGATAGGTTAGATAGAATAGATAGATTAGATAGATTGGATAGATTCGATAGAATAGATAGAGAAGATAGATTGGACAGATTAGATAGGTTAGATAGGTTAGATAAATGAGACAATTAGATATATTAGACAATTTCGACAGATTAGATAGGTTAGATAGATTAGGCAGATTAGATAGATTAGACTAGACCCATAAATAGATATATAGATAGGATGAGGTAGGTAGATAGATAGATAGATATATAGATAAATACATAGATAGGATGAGGTAGATAGATAGATACATAGATAGATAGATAGATTAGATTAGATTAGATTAGATAGATAGATAGACAGACAGACAGATAGATAGATAGATAGGATGAGGTAGATAGATAGATAGATAGACAGATAGATACATAGATACATAGATGCATAGATGCATAGATACATAGATACATAGATAGTTAGATTAGATTAGATTAGACTAGATTAGATTAGATTAGATAGAAAGATATTTGTAGATAGATAGATAGATAGATAGATAAGATAGATAAGATAGATATATAGATAAGATAAGATAAGATAGATAGATAGATAGATGGATAGATAGATCGAGAGATAGATATAGAAAGAAAAATAGATATAGCAAGAAAAATAGATATAGAAAGAAAAATGGATATAGAAAGAAAAATAGATAGATAGAAATATAGATAATTAGATAGATAGATAAATTAGATTAGATTAGATTAGATAGATAGATATTTGTAGATAGATAGTTAGATAGATTGATTGATAGATAGATTTTTAGAGCGATAGATAGATATAGCTAGATAGATTCAGATAGATATAGATGGATATAGGTAGATGTAGATAGATATAGGTAGATTTCATAGATATAGATAGATTGAGATAGATAGGTAGATAGATAGATAGATAGATACATAGACACACAGATAGTTAGATAGATAGATTAGAATAGATAGATAGATAGATAGATATAGATATGGATATGGATATGGATATAGATATAGATATAGATGGATATAGATATAGAAATAGATAAAGAAATAGATAGAAAATCAGATAGATAGAGAGATAGATAGATAGATAGAAAGAAAAATGGATAGATAGAAAAAATGAATAGATAGATAGATAGACAGATAGATTGGTAGATAGGTAGATAGATAGATAGAAAGAAAAAATAGATAGATAGATATAGATAAGATAAGATAAGATAGATAGATAGATCGAGAGATAGATATAGAAAGAAAAATAGATATAGAAAGAAAAATAGATATAGAAAGGAAAATAGATATAGAAAGAAACATAGATATAGAAAGAAAAAAATAGATAGAAATATAGATAGATAGATCGATAGATAGATCGATAGATAGATAGATAGATAGATAAGATAAGATAAGATAGATAGATAGATCGAGAGAAAGATATAGAAAGAAAAATAGATATAGAAAGGAAAATAGATATAGAAAGAAACATAGATATAGAAACAAAAAAGATAGATAGATAGATAGACAGATAGATAGATAGATAGATATATAGATAGATAGATAGATAGATATAGACAGATATAGATATAGACAGATATAGATAGATATAGATAGATATAGACAGATATAGATAGATATAGATAGATATAGACAGATATAGATAGATATAGATAGATATAGATAGATATAGATAGATATAGATAGTTATAGATAGATATAGATAGATATAGATAGATATAGACAGATATAGATAGATATAGATAGATATAGATAGATATAGATAGATATAGATAGATATAGATAGATATATATATATATATATTTGGATGGATAAGATTAGATAGATAAGATCAAGATTAGATAGATAAGCTCAGATAGATTAGCTCAGATAGATAAGCTCAGATAGATAAGCTCAGATAGATTAGCTCAGATAGATAGATAGATAGATAGGTAGATAGGTAGATAGGTAGGTAGATAGGTAGATAGGTAGATAGGTAGATAGGTAGATAGGTAGATAGATAGATAAATAGATAGATAAATAGATAGATAGCATTATTTCTTGCTGGGTAGCGCCATTGTCTCCAAACCTGTCTGCCCCAAACAGCTCCTTAACAGATGCCATTTCCGAACTTGTCATGGCCAGTGTGCACCACACAATTTTTGCATCGGCCTTGTCAAGAACCCCACCTATAGACGTCAATATGCACCGAAAATCTCAGAGTTGGCCATGGTTCCACTTGGTTCCCTGGTTTTGAGGCAACTCCAAAGACTCCTGGCATCTCCTGGCACATGAGACTAGGGTTTGTCCAAAGCAAATCCCAAACCATTTCGCAATTTCAGTATGGTTTTCAGTTTTGAGAGCCAACTCTGACACATCGCATTGGCCTGTGGTCTCGGGCACGGTGGGAGAGAAAAAATTGGTCAAATTCGGAAATTTTGGGGTTGTCCTGATAAAATCGCTGGGTTGTCCATATAGACTATACCATACTAAATATCCCAAAATCCCATCAAGATTCCATAAGATTCCCATAGTCATCCACTGCTATCATGATTTTTCCACATGTTCCCCATGTTTCCATATATTTTCCGATATTTTCCATATTTTTCTCGACATGTCTTTATAGTTGTTCCCATAGGTTCCACATGTTTCCATCATTTGATCCATCATTTTCCATCATTTTCCATAAGGTTTCATCATTGTCCTATCATGTTCCATTTTTGTCCTATCATTTTCCCAAGTTTTCCATGAATTTTCCATAATTTTCCCAGCATTTCACACCATTTTTCCATGGTCTTCACAGCCCGATGGTCCTTCGCTCTCTGTCCGCCCAGGCGGAACTAGCCCTGGCCCGGCCCATTGCTTTGGGCGCCCCCTTCAGGGCGGCTCAGGGCGGCAGTGGAGCACCGCTGTTGAAAGATGAACTTGAGGCAACGGCCCGGCTGGGGAAAGGCTGCTTTCATGTGGTTGAAAAGTATTGAAAACTGTGAGTTAGACGAGTGAACCCTGAAGAATAAATAGAGATATAATAGAGATTTGTTTGGGGTGAAACATGAAAAATGTGGAGATGTCATATGATTTCATGATACAATGGGGTACAATGGCATATTCAACGTCTATAAATAACACTATGATATGGTGTTGCCGAAAAGGAATGAATTGACATTCTATTCAGCAATTGTATGGGGTTTGAACCAAAACACGGGCTTCAGCAATGAGTCATGGATATTTGGTTTATCTTAAAACCCCCAATGAGGGGGCACCCAAACATCACACTTGAGGATACAAATGGGGATGGAATAGGCATAGGGGTATCGGTATGATGGGGTGTAATCAACAATATGACGGGGATACAACCCCCATGAGCAGTTCAAAGGGAATTGACGATAAACCGTGAAGTTTGCAGTATAGTGCCCTCATTTTTGACAAACCCACATCACTTCACCGAAATCAGGGCAGCTAAATTCACCAAATGTCATTGCTGGGTGAAAGGTAGGGTCGACTTTGTAGTGATTTTACTAGTGGATATGGACCTTGCTGGGTTCCAGACTGAATTTGGATAGTTCAGGTGGGGACTGCAGCCTCGCCAGTGTCCTTTGATGACCGTTGAAATAATGTTTTTTTAAATTCATATAAATTCAATGTCATAAACTTCCCAGAGGATAATTTATATAACCTGCCTGTTTATGGTCATATTGGGGATGGCTTCTAGTTGGTTTTGCCGTTTGCCACATTAAAAAATTAAATCATTGGATTTGAATGGGCACAGTTCAGATTAGCTTAACCGGATGTTAGGTGCCCACTGCAATTGTCAAAACTGTCCCATCTACTACCTGCTGTTCTGAGCGAACGCTTCCATCAGTCCTTTAATGTATGTCATCTCCACAAGAAGTGAATTCATGCGCAAATCGCAGATATTCCCTGGCTTTCTGCAGAGTATTAGTGGGTTCTGATTGGAACCAGGCCGTGCTTTTAACTTAAACCAAAAGAAGTGTAGCCACACATTTAGGAGTCTTATGTAGTTCTGTTGGGATAAGATGGACTTAGAATATTTCCATATACATATGTCATTTGAATTATGTCCATGTGTTTCCATATATTTTCCATATATTTCCATATGTCCCAACAAGGGTTAATGAATCTTTAACAAGGGATCAGCAAAGCGCCCAGGCCCTCTCCAAGCCCGGAGCCCAGTTTTCGCAGTCTGGGCAGCTCTGGGTTGACTTATCTTGCCAATGGAGGTTTCCTGAAATGGAGGTATCCCTAAATCATCCATTTTAATATATTTTAATAGGAGTTTCCGATTGTTCATCATAAACCAGCCAGCTATTGGGGATCCCCCACTTATGGAAACCCCCATAAATGGTTTGAAACCAGCAACTATATGCTGAACATGATGGTTTATGATACTTTTTCGATATTTGTGTGCCTTCTCAGTTGAGAGACAGCTCGAAGCTTTGGGAAACTTTGGGATGCCATCACTGGGAATGACATGCAGAACTGAGCCTTCAAGGTCGAGCCAGGTTTTGGCTGCAAGGTGCATGAGGCCTGTGCCGGTCTCTGGCCATAATTGGCCATAGTTTCCATTGTGGAAATCGGGAAAACATATCAGGGATGGCGAACATCCGGTGTAGCTCGGGGGTTTTATAAGTCATAAACTCAGTTACTCCAAAAATTACTGGGGGGTTTGATACTCACAGCTGTTCTGTAGATGTCTTGCCAGAGGAAAATGCTGGCTCAAGAGGTTGGATTTTGCTGCTTCGGCCTTGCGCATCGTCTTGCATCCACCCTATCACCTTGTCCCCCGAAAATTATGTAGTTGTATGATGTTGTATGATATTGCATACGCACACATCTATACTATACTCTTTTGCAGCTACATTTGAGGTTGAAAATCGCAGCAGAGCCTAGATCCAGATTTGACAGCAGCACTGTTTCAGGCTTGAGCCGGCTGAAAGGCCGAAAGCCAGCGAACTTTTGGAAGGCCACTGCGATTTGCTCCCGGGCTGATGCTTCATCTGTGCTCACCATGTTTTTGTGATAGAAAGCACACGCACACAGATATATATGTATATATATATATAGATATAACATGTACCGCACTCATGGTGTTCAATCATTTGTTCAATGGTGTTCAGAATTTCCGTATAAAGTTGCCATGTTTTTTATCCAAGCGTCGCAAATGCACTCGTTGAAAATAAACATTGCTCCCAAAACTTATTCGTTTAAATATGTCTAAATATGTTTAGATGTTCCTAATTATGGATATGTGCCCTTCAACTTATAATGGTTTTCCCTAAAAATATGGCAATATTAAAAACATGTTCCCCTCATTTTCCCCATGGCACATATCCACAAATGGCGGGCACATCCGTTGCTCCAACATGCGAGATCCTGGGAGAACATGGAGATGGCTAGTGGTCCCCTTCTTGGCTGGTGGTTCTACAGTAACATGCATAGAATATCATAGAATATACATACACACATATATAATATTGTAATATATATATAAGCATTAAATATATGCGCGTGTAGTTGTGTATGTATTTGTGTGTGTTCGGGCATATATATATAATATATATATATATATATTTATATATACAGAAGATATGTTTTTCCATGTGCTACACTTGAATGTCTTGATTTGTTTCTCCATTTTTCACCGGTTCACCCCTCTTTGGAATTGTCCAACATGATTAATAATCTGGTGGTTGAAACAGTGAAAGCATGTTGCAGTGTGATTTTCCAACAAGGTTGAAGAGGCAATCCATAGCACGCGTGGCTGTTCACTACGGTGCCTAGCAAATTTCATGACCCCACGTGAATCATACCAGGTTCATGACACCTCTGGAGCTGAGAATAGCGCCGACTAAGCCAAAGTCCAATGTGTCACACCTGTTTAGTCCAGTTTTGCTCATTGACTTTGGGATGTCCCCAGGCATCCTCAGGCCCCAAAAACGAAGCTGCAAATTCATGCAGATTTATGCGCAAGTTATATATGCAGAGCATTGCAGAGCAGAACCCATGTCAGACCCCAAAAGCATCCAAAGTCCTTGGGCGATTTGAACCGGCTCTTCAAATGAAGAGACCCGACTTCTAGACAAGAAGGGCTACATGGTCTGTTCCCGGGAAAGACAGGGCCTGATGACCATAGTCATGTTTGCGTTGATCGAGCTTGTGCATGGGGAGGTGGGTTTGAGTGGAATTGGGTGCCTTGCATTGGAGCACCATAATAATAATAATATGTATATATAATATATGACCAGCACCAGTATCAGTATCTATGTTAGAGGCGAGGGATCTCGGCCACAAAGTTGCCGCCCAGATTGAATGCGGCACTTGCGAAAGGGTCAGATTCCCATGCCAAGTATTGGAAGTCCTGGAAAGGCGTAATTGATTGCATGAGTGCATAGCTGATTGATGCTGATTGTCATACTTGTTATATATGTATATTACTATTACTGAAACTGCGACCCAGCCACATTCTCACACACACACATTTTCTTTAGTCAGTGTGTATTGCAATATGGTTTGATTTAATATTCTGTCCTGCTTGTGTTCTGCCTGTTTGTGCTTCCTTTTGCGTGTGCTCGTTGGTGCCTGTTGGTACAGTCCTGGATTGATTCATCTCAGCTGTCCCATGGACTACTGATCGATACTGAAGGTGATTTGTTCGAATAATCAAGGCATATCAAGGCTGTTAATTTTCCTTAGGTGGGTTGCATGCAAAAGGTTGGCTCATTGGCATCTTGCTCTAAGCCCAAATTGTTGAACCAATGTCACGCAGGCCACAAGCTCAAGCTGACCAGCAATGTCTCAATGAAGCCTACTGGGGCCTATTGCAATTAGGCTTTAAACATTGAACGTTCTGTTCCAAACCCTATTTGCCAGATGCGGCGTGGGTGAGTGTTCATCATGGTTGGACCCGTAGCAGTTTCATACTGTTCAAGAATCTATGCGGACGTACTGTTTGCCCTGACCAGAGCAGCAGAGCCAGCCATTCAGCCTTGCGAGTTCCACAAGCAGTTTCCCAGGAAGCTCGTTTGCAGAATTATTAGTTTTATGATGTATGGTTCATTTGGGAAGGAGCCTTTCTGACAGTTGCCGCGCATTGAGAAACTCTTTCGCATCCTTTTGCCACGAGATAGGATCCATGGATGAGAGTTACGTAGCAGGATGGCTTTCCAAAAGCCAATGGAGTCGAGGAAGTTGTTTCTCCAAGTCTATCCAATTTTAAGCATGTAACAAGGTACAAAAAGAATTAAGTAATTGAAATGAGTGAGAAGCACACCTGCATAAAACCTATTCCCATTCACAATCCGCACAGGAAGATTGATGATGCTACGTGTTGAGTAGAAGGGCAACGCTTGTTGCATCAATCCCACTCTGAAACATGCCGAAACCAACTGATACAGAGCATCGTCAACTCAAGCAGGCCGATGCAAACTACAGGCACATTTACATACATTGCCCATATTTGCGCATCGTGTCAGTTTAGTCTATTTGAGTTTCAGCTGATTTGTATTGATTTGTTATGTTGCTAGCATTTGGCAGACTCCACATGAAAGTGATGTGACCCATGCCGAAATACATATATATATATATATAATTATACATACATATAATTATAATTATATATAAGTGTCCAGGACTATTGTCAAAATAGCCCCCGGCAAAAGACTATTAAAGTGCATCGGCAACGATTTAAGGTCATTGGATATACATGAATATGCCAACGGACTCGTTACCGTCGCACAAATCCACATCCGGTAGCCTGGGGTGGGGTGGGGTGGGGTGGGGTGGGATAATAACGTCATTGGCATTTCCACATGAACCTGATGCTACACTCTTATGACCTTCAATTGCAATTCCACATGATCTTGATGCTACGCTCTATGATCTTCAATTACAATTCCACACATCCGCATCCGATAGCCTGGGGTGGGGTGGGGTGGGGTGGGGTGGGATAATAACGTCATTGGCATTTCCACATGAACCTGATGCTACACTCTTATGACCTTCAATTGCAATTCCACATGAACTTGATGCTACGCTCTATGATCTTCAATTACAATTCCACACATCCGCATCCGATAGCCTGGGTGGGGTGGGGTGGGGTGGGGTGGGATAATAACGTCATTGGCATTTCCACATGAACCTGATGCTACACTCTTATGACCTTCAATTGCAATTCCACATGAACTTGATGCTACGCTCTATGATCTTCAATTGCAATTCCACACATCCGCATCCGATAGCCTGGGGTGGGGTGGGGTGGGGTGGGGTGGGATAATAACGTCATTGGCATTTCCACATGAACTTGATGCTACGCTCTATGATCTTCAATGTGAGAAAAAGTTGCGGTTGCCCTTTTTGAGGCTGAAGTGATGGAAGGGTTGTCATTCCCAAAGTAGACGGACCTTGTTTTTTGATAGGTTTTGAATGCAAAAACTCGCTCCACGCTGTGAGGACGCAGTAATTTTGATCATTTTCGCACGCCGGTAACGCTTCCGCCGGGATGAATATGCATGGATCATCCTGGATCCACACTGGCCCAACCCATCTGAACTAAATCAGGTGGCATGGACGCCTTCAGTGAGGAATTGGTCATGAAATTCACGAATGTTCCTCTTGAATTGGGAGTGAGTGACATTTTGGAAATGAATAAGACAATTAAAATCTGCTAGTTTCATCTCAACCCGTTTGAATCAATCACATTACATGGACATGCAAAGTATGGAATCTGTCATGGGAATAGTGAACCCCTCCCTCTTGACGTGGGAGTCAGTGAACGGAAGGAATGAGATTGCCGATCGATAGATAGGAATGAGATAGCAATTTAATGAACTGTCATGTGGGCCGACACATAGCGTGAAAAAACGTGAAACAGCGTGACAAAAACGTGACGACCGTTTCAGACCGTGAAAGACCATTTACTTGTTTGAAAGACATAGGCCCTAAAATGGCCTGAATCACTGTGAATCATTGTCCATTTTGGAATGGCTTGCTGCAACCCTTAAGACATTTTAAGATATCATGTTTCTCATGTGACCAGCGACCAGCTGGATGCAAAACAAGCGTTCTTAGGAATGATCATGCCCACTGTGAGGATACAAAAGATCCGATGTCTATAGCCAATTTTTGGATCTTTTGAGGGGGTCAGGTTGGACATCACCAGGTTCAATGTCGAAAGAGTTGAATGTCCGCCCACATGCATGATATCGAAGTTTGCTAGAAAACTTGTGCTGCTCTTGTAGTGTGCAGTTTCTGTGCCGGGGATACCGTTTTGTTTCGAGATTCTAAATGTGAGTTTGGTGACTAGGCGTGATTGCCAAAGACTATTGGGAAATTGCTGGAAATAGACTTCACGTGTAAGACCACGGTTCAAAAAGTCTTTAGACCCCCAGGGATATGTATATATATATATATACAGTATATATAATCACCACCCCTTTAAGTCTACTTTTCAGGGAGGACCATACCAAAATGTAAGATACATTTTTTGGGACCCCCCCTCAAATGTAAATTTGGTCACTGAACGTCCCCCAGGTATCGTTTTTGTGGGGAGGGTCGTCAAAATACCTTCAAAATGTAAGCTTACATTTTCAAGGCCCCCTTCAAAAACACTTTGAAAAATGTGGCTTACATTTTGGGTACGTCCCCCCCTTTAAAAGGGTGGTGATTTATATAATATAGAGTTTAGTTATTTCAAGTGGATGTTTCAGATGTTCCGGCAGCCTTCTAAAGATCGGAGAGAGTACATAGTCTCGTGTCCAAACCGCTCACAGAGTCCAACATGTTTTGTATGTCCACATGCTGAGCTGATCAACTTGGCGTTCAGGATGCACATCGATCAAGAATCTGCAGCATTCATCGCTTTGGTGCAGGCGCTTTCGTTCCAGACTGCCGAACGTCAACGTGAAAATTGATGGTTTCATAATGCCATCTATGTTTCAGGTGTATTTGCGATTCTGTTCGCTTTGGGTTGAACTGTATCCTAGGGCATTTTAATCTGCATGGAGGATTCTGATTAGCATTCAGCCACATCAGAGGCGGGACAAGTTTGTTTGTTGAACTTCGTTGACATGCACCTCAGTCCAAGTCTGATCATTTCGGTGGGTTCGTCCCTTTTGTCCGAAGATGAAGGACATATTGGAAGATCATCCTATTTCTGAAGATTGTTTTCCTAAACCATGGATATTTATGGGTGTTTTAGATCTATACACGATTTTTCGTTTTTTTGAGACAACCACAGATGCCGTGTCCTCCAGAAGATATTGTGTGTTCATCCACAATGGCTCAAATCGGTCAATGATTGACAGGGCATCAGGAAACAGTTGGTCCAACAAAAATATAGAAAATTAAAGGACCGGCGGAACCCCACTTGTCAACTTCTTCCAAAAAGTAGCCAAAGAAAGGTGAAGATGGGATGGGAAAGGCAGGAAAGAGAAAAGAGATGGTGGAGGATCGGTGTGTGCAAGAAATGCATGTCGAAGTGAGGTGTGTGAAAGAGTCGAGTTCCGTGTAAAAGTGTTGTTGGTGAAAGAAGTGTGTGTAAAGGCGTGATGTGTAAAAGTGGTGTGTGTGTGAAAGAGTCGTGTGTGAAAGTGCTGTGGGAGAAAGAGTGGTGTGGGAGGACGGTGTGGGACAGGAGTGGGTGTAAAAGTGTTGTGTGTACTAGTATTGCGTGGGAAGTGAAGCTCCATGTCTCCAAGGGCGTGCCATGCCAAATGACACTGGATGTCGGCAAGCTGCCACACAAAGTGAAGGTCGATGTCGCCAAGTGCCACGCCTGCCACATAAAGAGCAGGTCCATGTCGCCACGTGCAACGCCTGCCACACAAACAGCCGCGGCGACAACGGCGCCAAACGGGACCCTGGCGCGCCACTAGAGCCAGCCCAGTGCCATAAGTGCCACACTGGCCACACAAAGTGAAGGTCGATGTCAGCAAATGCCACGCCTGCCACACAAAGTGAAGATCGATGTCACCAAGTGCCACGCCAAATGACACTGGATGTTACACAACGACAACGGCGTCAAACGGGATCCAAGCGCGCCACCAGAGCCTAGCCTGCTGTAAGTGCCACGCCGGCCACACAAAGTGAAGGGCGATGTCACCAAATGCCACGCCTAGAGCTGTGTGAGAGAGAGCTGTGTGAGTGGTTGTGTGTGAGTAAGTTGTGTGTGGGTGTGTGTGTGTGTGGGTGTGCGTGTGCGTGTGCGTGTGCGTGTGCGTGCGCGTGTGCGTGCGTGTGCGTGTGCGTGGGTGTGTGTGTGTGTGCCAATTGTGTGTGTGAGAGAGAGTTGTGTGTGAGAGAGTTGTGTGTGAGTAAGTTGTGTGTGAGAGTTGGTTGTGTGTGATGAGAGGGCGGGAGCGGACGGCGGGAGCGGACGGCGGGAGCGGACGGGTGGACGGGAGTGCACAACCAAAAACAAGAACCCCACACAAAGATGTGGGGAACTATGGTAAATATTCAATGAAATGCGAGGTCCACAAGAATTGCGAACACAGTATAAGTCATTATAAGTCCGCAAAATGACCGTTTTTGTTGGCTTTGTTTTGATGGCCTCCCTTGGCCTTCCCAGATTACTTGGAAGGCCAGTGCTGGTGCAGCAGGGGCTATCGTTGCCTCGGCGGCATTGCAACCAGTGGAGGCGCTGACTCGAGCTGGAGATTTCCAAAACGTACCTGATATGGACGAGGAAAATATAAGATGGACAAACAGCATATGGAAAATTGGCGGCATGGGGATTTACACTCCGGAAATTGAACATTGCAATTGGAAACCTTGTTTTGTTTGATGGGAAAATCATGAAGGAATTGGGATTTCCATGGATTTCCCATTGCCCAATTAGATTGCGCCACGGCGTAATAATCTGGATGTCAATGATCAATTCCCTCGTACCTGACATACATGTTTGTATTGAGATATATTGAGTAACATCCATGGGCCTGCGGCCTGACAGATGACCACTTTTGGCGCCTTGATGGTTAAGATGTTGCAAAGATGGTTTCCGGCATCTTCATTCATCCTTGAAGTACTGCCTTCCTTCGTAGTTTCCGCTCAGTGCCGTTAGTGCTTTCAGTACCCCATGACCCAAAGCTGCAGGTCGCTAAAACACGAATCCAGATCAGCACTGGAGGTGGCATTGGGATTGTGCCTGTGCAAGCGAACATGCATTTTATCCCCCCAACATTTGGGCCCAACATTTTCCAAGGAATCACTGAACCTCTCAAACTCAACTTTCTGTGACCCGCCCTTGCAGGCGATGACAGTACTTGGGCAACTATCAGGACAGCATGAAGCCTTCAGGGATCTTCACAGGGTCCACCTCGGCTAATTTTCCCGGTACACCGATCCCCCTTCCCCCAGCCGACTCCCCCAACGCGAGGGGGGTAGCGGTCTCACGCGCAGAAACTGTGCGGGTTTAAAAAATTACTTCACTTCGAATGATCCCCACCATGGCATATATAGCTACATACTCCACAGCTCTGGAAAGAAATATCTAAATACGCAACCTGGCCGAAGGACACCAAAGAGCAGCATCATTTTTTCCACCATGTTCTTGCATACCCTCAGTCATCATGCGGTTGGCATAAGCAGTGATATAAATACTTTACATATGTTTTGTCATGTCTGACACATCTACGGATACATCTTTCTGACATTCTTTCCGACATTCTATCTGGCACATCTTCTCTCGACCTCCCCATCTATTTCGCATATCTAGCATATCTTCTGACATTCTATCTGGCATATCTTCTGACATTCTTTCTGACATTCTTTCTGACATCTCATTCTCTGGCATATCTTCTGACTTTCTGGCATATCTTGTGGCATGGACATATATCTTCTGACATTCTTTCTGACATTCTTTCTGGCATTCTATCATATCTTCTGACATTCTATCTATCTGACATATCTTCTGACATTCTTTCTGTCCGGCAGTGCTGACATTCGATCTGGCATATCTTCTGACATTCTGGCTGTGCCCACTGCGATCTGGAAGTCTGGTTGAGGTCTGGCATTCTATCTGCAACCTGGAAGTCGCGGTTGAGGTTCGGCAGTACCCACTGGGATCTGGAGCTCGTGGTGGAGGTCCGGCAGTGCCCACTGGGATCTGGCGCTCGCGGTGGAGGTCCGGCTGTGCCCACTGGGATCTGGACTGCGAGGAGGAGGAGGCGGAGGAGGTGGAGGAGGCGGATGCGGAGGCGGAGGAGGAGGAGGAGGAGGAGAACAGCTCTGATAAAATCTAACAACCCTCACCTGGCAGGTGGGGAAAAACAAACTCGAGGTTTCCAAGTTGTTCGTCAGATGGTTTTGGATGATTGGGGCATTCGGCCCCCCTGATTTGAACATGTTTGACACATGTTTCAGCCAATTTGCAGGAAGATAGCAGCCCAAGATGGTGTTTTGGGACTTTGGCTGGGTGCCATCGGCAAGTGTACGGAGATTCTCGGCATGCGTCAAGCCATGGCAGACATGTCATTGCGGGATGTGATGAGAAAACTCCAACGCCGGTGGTCCCAAGTGGCCGGAGACTGGGACGTGCTGTGTTCGAAAATTGGCCCAGCATGGCTGGTGCTTGCTGAGGAATGGCGCCAAGAACTTTGCGCCACTTGCCTCTCACATCATTATCCCACGGTCCCACAGCTTATCATGGCCCTAGCAAAGTCGAACAGATTGAATACAGGAGCTTCAGGTCGAAGGTACAATAGAATCCAATAGAATCGATCCGATACTTGGCCTGGCTTCCTAGGGGCAGCCTAGATCAGCTAAGTGTGATTTATGTACAGGATACCCTTGGATACCCTCATTTTTATCCCAGACTTGTCAGTGTTTCTGCTGTTTCGGTTTGTAGCTTCAAAATGTATTCAAAATGTCACTCACACTTGTGTCTTCTCGATGGTTCAATCAGTGGCTGATAGGAGGTAGAGGTACCATGGCGACTCCTTATTCTGACATATTCTGACCATGTACATCTTGAAACAAAATGTTTGCGATCCAACAGCAGACGCGATCGTTGATGTCATTCCAGCAATGCAAAGATGGCCAAATTCATAGCCATTGGTGTCTTGCCAGCCAGCATTGAATGCTGCAAGGTATTTCTACATCTATGACGGTATGAATGCGATTGTGAAGAGGCACATGGCACTCACCACTCTTGTCACTTGCCCAAAATTTTGAGCTGATGGGAATCCTCATGACAAACTCTCATACAAGTCATGGCAGTGGCTCGAAAGAGAAAACAGACTTGTTGCCATGGCAATTGGAATGGCCATGGCAGAATCACAATTGATCCTAGGTGAAACTGGTCTTGGGATACGTTGCGGGCGTTGGATCTTTGGATTGCATTGAGTTTTTAGTCTCACTTGCTGGTTGCCCTGGGCAGGGATACGGGTCAAGAGGGATAGTAATTTCGTAATTTCACCAGCTGAAACTGTATGAGAATGATTGAGAATGTATCCTTCCACCATCTTCCACCATATCTTAGAGAATCCAAAGAAACCAACGAAGTGATGGATCTCTCAGGAGTTTGATGTTGCCTCTCCACATTCCTGCGCATCCGCAATCCAACCATTGCCTCTTGTTGCAACCCATACAGATTTCTAGATACCTGGCCCTGAAGAGACTTGAGTATGGGTCAAAATCATCAACACCTCCCGAATCTCAATCTAACCAACCATATAACTAAGCTTAGCTGATTGAATGCGGAAAACGACCATAAGACTTGTGGCCCGTTGGTACCTGAAGGTTTGACCCATGCCCACAGGCAATACCCTCATCAACATGCCCCTGGAAGTGATCTCAACAAAGATGCAGCTGGACGATGCCAAGGCATTGGACAAGTTTTCAGTGGCCAACAGATGGGGCAGATGATGATCGACCATGGGAACCAGGAAAATGACGCTTGAAATCCCCGCATTTCAAATGGAACCTGAAAAAATTGGTTGCTTATTTTTATGATGATTTATTTGCCAGATGATTACAATTCATCCAATTGTAGTCTCTTCGACTAAGGTACAGTACTATTCGTACTATTCCGAGTCACTTCCGTTGATGCTTTTGAGTGAAGGTTGCAGGGGATTAGGCTGCGGTGACTGCTTTACCTGGACACGACGTTTCGCATTGCCCCCGTGCTACATCTATCAGAGCGCTACGGTAAATTGATAATGTGTGCCCAGTCACGTCGATCACCAGGAAGTGCTCTTCACACCTGTTGTACCCCAGGAATCAAGTCTTGCAATTCCGGTGGGAAAGTGGGAAGCGTTTGTGAATGGATGTAACATGGTGGTGGGTTTCCATTGCCAGGGTTGCCAGAGGGTGACTGTTTGAAGATAAACTGCCCTGGCCCGAGGGCATCGGAACCCTTGGCATGTTGCAGCGGATCGTGCAGAACGAAGGACGGCTGAGATGTCTTGAGATGTCTCGGTGCGAAAAACCGTCGAAAACTCTGAGAAGCTGGATGGTTGAAAGATGTTTTGTTCTGCTTCCCGATGTTTCTTTCAGGACAACATTGCCAGGAAAACGGTGAAAATTCGTGGGGATTCTTTGTTCCAAAGATACCCATACCCAAACTCTATTTCAAAAAATAAAAAAGGGTTTATGTATGCATACTACGGTGGGTGGAAGAAATCCTGCACCACCTCTATAACCTTAGATTTGCTAATGCATAACTTGTACCCCCGTACCCTCAAGCTCAATGTTGAATGACATGATGGCAGGTGGTGCAGGATTTCCGTCACTCGCGCAAATTCATTTTGATCGCTGTGTCTTCAAACAATATTAAATTAGGAGCGCGAGGTTTCAAGTGTAGGCCTTTGAAAGTGGTGCAGGATTTCTTCCATCAACGGTACTGAAATTTTATGTGCCTGGTTGAAGAACTGCAAAGAATCAGCGGGCAGAAGCTGAAGGATGTTTTGGCCATATGCATTCATTAGCTTGTCAGATCATCAACCTTTGAATTCAAGGTCATCAAGCCTGGTGCATTTAGATTTGACTATATTGCAACACAAGCTGGGCAGAGCAGCGCTGGCATGCCAGAAAATGGTTTCCGGACCAGGAGGAGGGAGGAAGCAGAATCCTTTTCAAAGAAGCACGTGAAAGTGACTAGTGTTGCGTGGGGCTCCCACGCAACACTACACGCTACACTACACGCAACACTACACGCTACACTGCACGCAACACTACCGAACTGCTGGCAGGGGCGGCATTTTGGAGCTTTGAGGCTTTCGAGGAATGAAATGAAAATACAAGTCAGCTTTTTCTGTCCTGACCTGAAATGCTGCCCCTGACAGCATTTTGGTAGTGTTGCGTGTAGTGTAGCGTGTAGTGTTGCGTGTAGTGTAGCGTGAGTGTTGCGTGCAGTTTGCAGTGTAGCGTGCGGCGGCTGCCATGTAGCTCATTTTGTCTCGTGCTCAGCTGTGTGCAGGTGAAGAGTGAAGCACACTGGGGGAACTATAAGAAGAACGGACGATGGATTTGATCCCCTGGAAGTAGCTGGTGACGGGAAGAAATTTGCAAGACCAAAAATACAAGAAATCCTTTTCTTTCTTCGGTGGGTGGAAGAAATCCTGCACCACCTCTATAACCTTAGATTTGCTAATGCATAACTTGTACCCCCGTACCCCCAAGCTCAATGTTGAATGACATGATGGCAGGTGGTGCAGGATTTCCGTCACTCGCGCAAATTCATTTTGATCGCTGTGTCTTCAAACAATATTAAATTAGGAGCGCGAGGTTTCAAGTGTAGGCCTTTGAAAGTGGTGCAGGATTTCTTCCATCAACAGTACTGAAATTTTATGTGCCTGGTTGAAGAACTGCAAAGAATCAGCGGGCAGAAGCTGAAGGATGTTTTGGCCATATGCATTCATTAGCTTGTCAGATCATCAACCTTTGAATTCAAGGTCATCAAGCCTGGTGCATTTAGATTTGATTATATTGCAACACAAGCTGGGCAGAGCAGCGCTGGCATGCCGGAAAGCGGTTGCCGGACCAGGAGGAGGGAGGAAGCAGAATCCTTTTCAAAGAAGCATTTGAAAGTGATTAGTGTTGCGTGGGGCTCCCACGCTACACTACACGCTACACTACACGCTACACTATACGCAACACTGCACGCAACACTACCGAACTGCTGGCAGGGGCGGCATTTTGGAGCTTTGAGGCTTTTAAGGAATGAAGAAAATGCAAGTCAGCGTTTTCTGTCCTGACCTGAAATGCTGCCCCTGACAGCATTTTGGTAGTGTTGCGTGTAGTGTTGCGTGTAGTGTTGCGTGTAGTGTAGCATGAGTGTTGCGTGCAGTTTGCAGTGTAGCGTGCGGCGGCTGCCATGTAGCTCATTTTGTCTCGTGCCAGCTGTGTGCAGGTGAAGAGTGAAGTACACTGCGGGAACTATAAGAAGAACGGACGATGGATTTGATCCCCTGGAAGTAGCTGGTGACGGGAAGGAATTTGCAAGACCAAAAATACAAGAAATCTTTTTCTTTCTTCGGTGGGTGGAAGAAATCCTGCACCACCTCTATAACCTTAGATTTGCTAATGCATAACTTGTACCCCCGTACCCCCAAGCTCAATGTTGAATGACATGATGGCAGGTGGTGCAAAATTTCCGTCACTCGCGCAAATTCATTTTGAACGCTGTGTCTTCAAACAATATTAAATTAGGAGCGCGAGGTTTCAAGTGTAGGCCTTTGAAAGTGGTGCAGGATTTCTTCCATCAACAGTAGTACCAGAGATTGCCAAGATTGTCGAGACCAACTTGTCATGTTGTTGTGGGCCAGGCGCAGTCAAGACGGGCACTGGCATTTGGATCACTCGTGTTCTCCCTTGTGAGGAGTGGGAACTCTCTACACGGGCTTGGGCTACAACATCGCCAGCCAGCTCAGAAGGGTCATAGGATGCGGGGCGCATACATCCCTAGGCTGCCATGATGTGCCATCCTGCATCCAGGCTTTGTGCATTAACCCCGCCATTCAAAACACCATTTTAGCACCTTGGACAAAGAGGGCGCGGTACCGGATGTTTTATTCGTCAGCACCAGTGCAAGAAGGGGTGTATGTATGTATATATATATATATTCGGGTATATATTCGGGATTCGGGTACATAGCTGACTGGGGGTATCCTTTTGTCTCTTTGCTTCCCATCCATGGGATAACGGACCTACTGTCCCAGTATCATGTAGTATGGCACTTGCCATGCAAGGCCTGTGTTCTGGGGATTTCTGCGGTATGTCTGGCATTAACTGGGTCCAAGGACAAACTGAAGGAGGCGATCCTCGGTGCTATGAAGCGGAGGAACCCAGGAGTGCCTTGGCCAAAGATCAGCTTGGCCCATGTTTCAATGGCAAAATGCTGCAAGATTGAGGAACATCATCTACAAATGGTGGATTCTCCAGGGCCAGGTTTCGGACTGATTGGCATATCCCAGCATCCAGATGCTCTGTGAGGTTGCTCCTGCGTTGACGGCTTTCCAGGCATGCCAGCTTCGACCAACCCACGAGTTATTAGTTTCGAGCTGTCTTGGAGTTCTATATATATATATATTCTATATGAAATTGGAGGAACACGGCATCCCCCCCCCCGGTTACAGAATTCTTGTTGTTGAACGGACAGTTTGCTGGCTGTCTGTGTGGGCTATATACTCAACCGTCTTAGTCGTCAAACTCAGATAGGTCATAATATTAGGGTATTATTAGGTTCAATTAAAGGTTATTAGTTGCTATAGCATGCTATAGCTACCTATAGCTAGGGTCTTGAACTCTTGAAGTCACCTATCCACTGTTAACCCTGGCAATGGGACAGCGCAGGCCTTTACGCTGGGCGCCTTCGCAAAAGCTGTTGCTACAGTGGTGACCTATCCGCTCGTGAGGTTGAAGACCAATTTGACACATGGCTGGAAGATGAGTATCAACAATATTTAACAATGCCATTCCGAATTCCTTGAAAAAACGTGGGGACGATCTAATGTATAAATAACAATTAATTATACAATAATAGACACCCGTAACTTTGAACATCCTGAGTTTTGAATTTTGGTCGTGTTTCCAGTGCACATGTAGTGAACGTTGGAAAAGTTATGTTTCACAGTTGATTTTAGCCAAAGGCTTTAGGGTGAAGACTTCAAGAGGTTCAATTCAAACATTCTAGGGGTTCTTTGAAAAGGCCAGGGACATCCAGGATTTCGGGCTGGTGACGTAGATTGGAAATCAGTGGTCAAATATCTGGTCCCTTTGACATCTTTAACCTATGGCAATCCAACCTAGCCACGGAAAATCACCATGTTTAAAAGTCTGAGTCTAATCATTTGAACCAATATCCAACAAATGTGCAATAATGAGCAATTTTTAATAAAGCTACAAGTACAATGAATTACGGGTATTTCTCATTTTTTCAAACCATCTCTCACCATTGAGCCGTTTATAACCATTCAAAAATTGCGGTCTTCAATCGTCCCATCGCGTTGAGGCAAGCAGGCAAAGTTCCGACCATCGAGCGACAGCCCAGCCTGCGGAAGGTGACCTCCAAACTGGGACATGGCATGGAACGCTCAGGTCCGGGCCAACCAAGCGGGGCGGTCATAGCTGGGCCATGGGCCATTTGGATCCACCTGGGCTATTGGAAATGATGGGAATGTATTATCAAATTAGGGTCACTTGGTATCCTACTTCTGTGCCACTTTGAAGATTTTGAAGTGGCAGGATCAGTGGAGATGATTCGAGCGAT